AAAATAAAAATAAATAAAAATAAAAATAAAAATAAAAATAAAAGAAATCAAAATAAAATAAAAATAAAAATTAAAAAAAAAATTAAAATTAAAAATAAAAATAAAAACTAAAATTAAAAATAAAAATAAAAACTAAAATAAAAAATAAAATAAAATAAAAATAAATAAAGATAAAGAGAACCCGCTGGCAAAGGCCCCGGAGGTGCGGGTGTGGCTCCTCCGGGGAGAGCGGTGGGAAGGAGGGAGATCAGATAAAGGCAGAGGCGCCTGGAACTCACTGAAAATTTAATCCCCCGGAGATATCCTTACGCTAAATTTGCATTTGGAGCATCCACGGCAGAGCCGCACCTGGGAGGGGAAAATGGGAATTGTTCATTTCCTCCCATTATTTTATCCTTTTTTTACCCAGTAAAACTTCAAACTCCCGGCTCCGGGGATGATTTTGCAGGAGGAGATGCTGCGATGATCCTTCAGCTTTTTGGATGATCCCAGCTGGATTTTTGGGCCATGGGAAGTTCCCAAAATCCCAGCTGGGGACAGGCTCAGCTCTCAGATGTGATTTTGGAATTAAAGTTTGGGCTGAGACCCTTGGGGTGCTCCGGGCTTCAGTTTGGAACTGAAGAGACCTCGGGATGTGGAACTGGGGGGTTTTAAATGATGAAAAAAAAAAGGGTTTTTATGGGGTTGTGCCTTTCCTCGTGTGAAATCCTAAACACAATTTCATTTTTCAGGGTCTTTCCCTCCCTTTTCCTTCTCCTAGAGGAGAAATTGAGGTGAGAAAAAATCATTTGTTGTCTTCCTCCTCCCACGTCGCAATGTGCTTCCTCCCAGTCCTCTGGGGCAAAAAAAAAACCTCTTTTCCTGAAAAAAAACCACCCAATTCCACACCAAAATCCAGGCTGAGGCAGCAAAACCTGTCACAGGATGAATAAAGGTCCTAAAGCCTCTGCAGGGCGACGATCCCGGGGTTCCATCGCATAATTTGGGATAAATTTTTGGGATAAATCCCCGAAAAAATTGATTTGCAACAGCGAAAATGTTCTGGGGAGGGTTTGAAATGAGGCTGGAGCAGGAGGGGAAGGGAAGGAAACCGACCCAGCCCAGCCTGGGGCTCTGGGGCTGCCCCAGAAAAAGCAGAAGGCACCGAAAAATCGAGGAGGAGCTGACAAAGCTTTGGGTTTCCTGAGTGTTTTTGGCAAGAACGGGCAAAACTCGGTGAAATCCAGGATCAACAGCCGGCTCTGCTCCCTCCCTCCATCTTCCCACAGATAAAACCCAGGAATAATCCAAATTATCCATCAAAAATGCTACCAGGAGGGGATTTTGCAGCCGTCTCGGGGGTTTGGGATAAACCCACGGGGTTTTGGGGCAGCAGCTCTGGTGGGACCCCAAATTTGGGGGTTCCCGGCTGTGAGGTTTGGGAATGGCAGGAACGAGGGTCCCGCTCCTGGGTGTCCCCTGGAAAGAGATGAAAAGACTTTCCAGGAGGATTAAAATGTAAAACACGTGTGAAAATGGTAAAAAACACCAAATTGAGTACAAAAAAATCCCTTCCTGGAGCAGCCCAGGGTGGAGCCCTTGGTACCACTCGGGGCTTCGCTCCGGAGCATCCCGGTGATGCCAAGAGGAGAAGCCAAAATCCCGATTCCCTGGGAGGGAAATGAGCTGCAGCCACCAAAAAAAAATCCCATTTTGGGCTGGAATTTGGGGAGCTCCAAAACGCAGGTTCATCCTCCCGTGCTCAGGACTCGTTTCCTGTTTACGCCCCGGCTCTGCCACCTTCGCCTCCGTCATCACATCCCCTTCCTAGCGCCGAGAAATGGGGCAAGTTCTT